CAAAGTATACCAACATCCTACTACATATAATAAATAAACTTATGAAATGTTTGTTATTAAGCATAAACTATACAATGAGCTATCTGTGCTATGCCCACTACGTATATTGAAATCCGGTTTTTAGCTCTGTGAGCTGTTAGACTTTCTGCTGAGCCACTAGGAGGAAGTCTCACGAAATAACGAATATTTATTTCTTGAACACATTTAATAACGTTCAATGTCTTCTTGTTTTTGAGCCGAAAAATCACAAATAGGCATTGCCTTTTTAATGCAACCAATAGATACATATTTACTAAGCGAAATAAAAATACATCAACGATTGTGTGATGTCTTTTCAAGGGTATTTTAGGCAGTGTCTAAGATATTGTGAAACTTCGGTTCTAATGAACAGCTCCTGTCTGTTTCTGAAGTGAGACAACGTTTCAGCTTCTATACTGAAGCCATTTTTGGACTTCGACCTGAAGAAGGACTCACTATAGAAGCCAAAACGTCGTCCCACTTTAAAAAGGAGTAGAAAATGGCCAATAAACGTCAATAATATCAATCAACTTAAAATCTAAGAATTTCTCCTGTTTATACAGCCATAAAACATAATTTGATAGACAAATATAGCTGGATCCTTCCAATACTCTCTCTTAGTGAATAGCCTGTCAAAAAATGCACGAAACACATGTTGTTGTTATTGCTTTCATTTATTACTCTTCTATCTTTTCTGTGGTGTGTTCGTTATTTCGGTCACCTCTTCTTCCTGAGATCTGGATAATGTTTTACAGTCGTTGGAAAGGAGAGTGCCACTGTCTTTTAGTGTTTTCAAAGTTAACTGGAATACAGAAATACAAGTTTACAATACATTATCAAATGAAAAGTAGCTTACAGATTGATAAGAGATGACCATACGGAATTTTGAATTGTACATATGTCTAGCATATCTACAGTCCCGTAAAAAAGTATAAATTATAGTCGCTACTTTCTTTGACGTACAGAAATATTGTCTTTTTTATTCTTAGTTTTCTTCATGCTACTATAGTTCACTGTATTATTCTCAATCTTGTATCACTCTTACCTTGATCATACCTCAGCCTCTTACCCATACTTTTCTCATGCAAAGCTGTTTTCCCGCAAACATGCCAAACAAAAAACATCCATTTCCATTTATTTTATTCTCAGGATTGAAAACACTCTTTTGAAGTTTGAACCAACCACCTGCATTAGATGAGAGAAAGAACCCCTTTATGCTTAGGACTAATCCACATCAAGGAGAATTAGGTTACCGTGGATTCGAGCAATCACATGGGAATCCTAGGAACGAATGTCTAGTGGAAACAGACATCATATTTCATATGAATAACTTTTATTGCTTATACTCCTTCCAAATGAAGCTATTTTGCTCTCAGAATTGCGTGACTTCCGCTGTCGTAACACTGCCCCTTCCTTAGTATTGTTCATCCCGAACATTAGCCACTTACATTAAACCAATAAATAATTAACAATAACTTGATTAAATGTACAGAATTTACACCGTTGGTTTACCTCGCCGATCACATTTTATTCGGAAAGTCACGTCTGAGAGACGATCCACTATGTCATATGAGCCTTCCCAT